TTTTGGTAAAGAAGCCACGGCCGCTGTTACTCCTACTACTAGTGCATAGTTACTCAGCATTTAATACATTCTGAGCTGGAGCTAAGCCCTTTAAGTATTTTCCTGAGGCTTTTTTTTTTTTGTATGCACGGCATTTTTTGCATTTACCTTTACAGGATTTCAGAGTAAAGAGTAGCTAGCCCATCACGAATATGATTGCAATGGTGCCAGTAACACTAACAACCCAGCTAACTTTTTTGAGCCTCCGCTGTGTGTCCAGCTGAAGGAAGCTCTCTACCTCTGTTACCGCATTCAAATCTCACAATGAACCTATGAGAGACAAACTGCTCAGATGGTCCTCCCAAGCAGAACGTGAGATAAGGATTTGGGTGCCGGTGACTTACTTGGGAAGTAATTCTAGGAGGCAGAAGTAGGGGAAGGGGGACAGTGAGAGGAGAAGGGAGAAAAGCCCCAAATGGTGCCTCAGTGAGCAGGTGGGGAGCTGGGGCTCAGCCCTGCTGGGGACATCTGGGAACCAGCACAGAACCAACTCCGAACTGTCCCACCATGTGAAGGGGAACCGGGGCACTTACGCCCAGACTCCTGGCCTTCACTGCTGAGGAATGTCCCTAGGGGTGTGAACTCGGGGGCTGGGCAGCCCTTTAGAGAAAGCCGCAGGACCACGATGCAGAGAGAGCCCACTGCACTGGGGCTCAGGATACGCACGGAACTGTCCACCCGCCTCCCTGAAGTCAGGGAGCTCCAAGGAGGAAACTGAGTTGAGAGAGGTTAAGCAACCTGCTAGAGGTCACAGCCAGTATGGGGCACAGCTCGGACTGAAGTTCACACCTTCGGAGCTCCTGCACTGTGGACCATTACACCACACGGCTTGACACAAGTGAGGCAGGAACGGACGTGTTCAAATTTGGTGGTGGGAAGGAGTCCTTGGCCACTGATCCTATTTGGAAAGCTGAGCGATTCAGTCTCCTCTCTGAGGATCTCTCAGAATGATGGTGTCCTCCCTGCCATCCCACCCATGCACAGCCCTGCATAGGAGGCCACTCCCTGTCTGTCTCTGAATCAGGTTTCAGAAGGACATCATGGGCACATCTACATACAGGGACAGAAACCATAGCATCGAGGTGCTGGAGATCGAGTAGCCACTGAATCCCATTTCCAGCCCAAGGCAGGAATTCTTCCCGGAGCCCCCGGCCCGAAAGGCTGGGCAGTGGACCTTCCCTAGGCCACGGGGTTCTCTGCTTCACCCTGAGATAGCCGGTGGGCATTTGTAAAAGAGAACGCAACCCCACCGACAGCTCTTAGTCACCTCTGGGCAGCCGCTTTTCTTTTACATTCCTTTAAACACTGACAGGCACAACTGATGCTTTTCCAGTTGTTTTCTTCCAGGCTAAATGCTGCCCAGTTCTTTCAGCAGTTCTTCAGAGCATGTGATTTCCAGACTCATTTCCTTTGGTTATATTCTTCTGCACACCCCCTTGTCCAGTGCCACTCATCCACAGCCCACTGGGGAGCTGTGAGCCTTCTGTAGGTGCGGTGCTCGGCGACCATCATGGTGCTGACAGTTCATTTTGGGCATCACCAAGTGGCCGTTCTGTATGTCATCGGGAGCATCACCAGATGGGGGCACAGGATGTGACACAGGTCAAGGGACAATTTGCAGCCATATTTCTTGGAACATGTGGGAAGGCTGCTAAGGGGTCTCTGAGAGAGGAGGGTAAGGGCAGTAAACAAATCTAGGCACACGACGAGCCAGTGCTGAAAGGGACATGGTCATAGGGTAAACCCAGGTGATTAAACGTCGTGGGACGTCGCGGGCCAGGGGAGTACTCGGTGCTGGCATCAGCGCTGGCTTGCCTCGACAGACATTCGGTGTGCTCTTCGGGGTTTCTAGTTTTCTTCTCTTTCGGGACACACAGCAGAATTATATACACATTTTTGCCCCTGCTTCCAACGTGAATTAAGTAAGAGCTGTTACGTAATTGTGCACATTTCTTTCCCTGTAGTGACAAATGCAAAGGCCTCGGATTGACACCGTGGTACCGTAATACCATGGGGCCTGTCAGCCTGGGTCCCAAAGGGACTACATGGAGAAGAAACACCCTGACAACTCTCTCCGGATGTAGCTTGAGTGAGAAAGAAGCCGTGATTGTTGCTGTAGCTGTTAACAGCACTGACATTTCATTGTTATACAAGTGGTTTATCAATCTCAGAGTTCACCACCTAAGCATCAAGGAATTCACCAGCAGCAACAATGGGACTGTCTTCTAAACACTGAAAAAAGTGAACAGAGGCTTAAGGATAATGATAAAGTGATGTCAGCTTCATCGTATTTTGTTTCGGCTATGCGTTCTGGAAAAAGTTCTGATTCACAAGGTTAAAAACCGTCTGTGAAAGGGAACCTTCCTACACTGTTAGTGGGAATGTAAACTGGTGCAGCCACTATGGAGAACAGTATGGAGGTTCCTTTAAAAACTAAAGATAGAGTTACATGATCCAACAATCCCACTCCTGGGCATATATCAGGAAAAGACAAAAACTCTACTTTGAAAAGACACATGCACCCCAATGTTCACAGCACACTATTTACAATAGCCAAGACATGGAAGTAACTTAAATGTCCATCGACAGATTAATGGATAAAGAAGATATGCTATACGTATGCAGTGGAATACTACTCAGCCATAAAAAGAATGAAATAATGCCATCTGCAGCAACACGGATGGATCTAGAGATTATCATAAGTGAAATCAGTCAGACAGAGAAAGATCAATTCCCTATATTGCTTATATGGGGAATCTAAACAATAATATAAATGAACTTATTCACAAAACATAAAGACACTCAAGGAGATAGAAAACAAACTTATGCTTACCAAAGGGGAAAGGGGGGAAGGAGAAATGAGGAGTTTGGGATTAACAGATACATGCTACTATATATCAAACAGATAAATAACAAGGACCTACTGTACAGCACAGGGAACTATATTTAGTATCTTATAATAACCTATTATGGAAAACAATCTGAAAAAGAATAGATATATATATATGTATAACTGAATCACCTTGCTGTACACCTGAAACTAGCATGACATTTCAAGTCAATTATATTTCAATTAAAAAAAAAAAACCTTGTGGTTCTAAGCCACTAACATTTCAGGACTGCTCATTACTGCACCATCACCTAGGCTATCCTGACAGATACATTTGCTCAATGTCGTCTGTCCTCAAATCTTATTTTCATGATTTGAAAGTATGTTGTGACCAGAAAAATCTCCAGAACACTTGCTGTACTTTAAGTGTAGTGCCTACCACTTCAGGCAGAACTGGAGATGTGGTCTGATTAGACAAGCCTCAGGCAGTTAAATTTCCTAACGCTGTACGCATGCAGTCCCACATCCCCCTATGGAGGTAAAGGGGAGGGAGGAAGGAGAATTGGAGAGAATGCTTTATTGCGAAGAGCTGAGACAACATGGCCACGTGTACTTACCAGAACACTGAAGGCCGCTGCCTTTGAATCCCTGCTTGCACTTACACTTGAAGGATCCTGGAGTATTGAGGCAATTGGCGTGGGGGCTGCACGTATGGGTCTTCCCAGCACATTCGTTTATATCTAAAAATGTGAACAGTCCCGTCAACAACCTGGTGGCAACAGCATTTGCTGAAAGACTATCCCTTGCACTTGAGTAACTCCAGGGCCAACTGCTCCCCGCAGTCAGCGAGCCAAGTGCAGCCTGGGAACCGAGAGGTATGTAAGAGTCCCAGCGCCTTGGCCTAGAGCCCTGGCTTTGCCTGCTGCCCAGTATGTAGGGAGTGTGTCTGCAGCTCGCCTCCCCCACAGCGATCTCCGCTCCTGCTTATCAATACTCCTGAAATCTGCAAGATGTTGAGGTTTCATTTCTTAACTTTTCATCTGTCTAATTCAGAACTAAACAACAATAGCAGAAAAGAAATTCTATGCATGGAAGGGCCTGGAACTAATCAACAAAGGACAAGATGAGCTAGGAACCATGGACATCGTCTGAAAAATTTGAGCATTCTCTTCAAAGACTGCCAGGAGCAGGGGCTCAGGCTGGTCTGAGCTCCTCTGTGGGGTTTAGATGAGGAAAGTTTGCCGAATTCCAAAGTGACAGCTTCACTGGCCCTCTTCTCTGTCCTACTTTCTAGCTATTTCTCACTTGCACACAAAATAGGCTATTGTTTTTAACATAGCCACCAGGGGGCTCAGACGTTAATCATAATCAGTTTTAAAATCAGAGATTTGTTTCCTTTGGACGCTCTCCATGTAAATTCCCACCCTGCCCTTCTGCATCTAGGGAACCAGTTTCTACTCTCTGACCCAGCGTGGCTGCATTACAGAGCTGGAGGGGCCCGCAGCGGCGATGCAGGGTTCCAGCCCACGAGACACGTGGATTTTATCAGCCCGTCTGTGTTTGAGAAGATTTGAGGGAAGAGATCTGGAGGCTTCACAAGATGATTCAAAACCTAAGAACCAAGTGTCACCCCCAACGTGACACACAGGAAACATCCTGGGAAGCTCTGAGCGTAGGGCTGAAAGAAATCCTACTTTTTTCCCACTGTTAGCATTCCAGGTCATGCACACACGTCTGTTACGTGCATGTTACATAAACAGGAATCTACAGGGAGCCCAGATGTCCATTCACTGCAGGACAAGCCCCATCTGCCTTCTATCGAGGGCAATGGAGATGTGTCCAAGGGCTCCCCAAATACCCCACTTCACCAACTCATTGAGACTTGGAATTCCTTCCCTAAGAGATAGGATTTTTATTTCACCAAAACCAGGCTGATAGCTGAGTAATACCTGAATCTTTTCATAGAGCGGCTCTGGAGATCCTGGAAAGGGAATGTTTTAGGGGATGTGGAGCTTGAACTGCAGAAGGGCTGGGGGAGGAGAGAAGAAAGAGCATGTGCCTTCATCTCCCTCATACATTTTCCTAAAGCCACTCCTGATGGTAACTGTTATGAACAGACCACTGAGATCAAGCTTAAACAGGCCTTGTTATATCAAATGTAAATATGCTTTATTATTTCTATTTTTAGATATGTTACCTGGAGATAGAACCAAAAATATAAACAAAACCAAACCAACCCAATTTTTAAAAAGTTCCCCAAATCACCTTGAACTATTTGCCTCCTTACCAGAACTCTACAGACCAAAGTTACTTACTTTAAATGTGTATTGACCTGGCTTCATATAATTCATGCTATCAGGGTTCCCTAAATGCCAGAAACTTAAAAAAATGTAATTTTTTCTGTGTTGTTACGGTGGTCAGTACAATAGACTGTTCAACTAACAGACTGAACTGATGTCAAAATACCTGTGGTGTGGGAGGCATATATTAGGAATTTGGGATTAAAAGATACACAGTACTATATATAAAAGTGAAAAACAACAAGGATCTACTGTAGAGCACAGGGGACTATACTCAGTACCTTGTAATAGCCTATAATGAAAAAGAATATGAAATACATGTACATGTATGACTGAATCACTTGCTGTACACAAAAAACTAACACAACATTGTAAATCAACTAAACTTCAATTAAAAAAAATCTGTAGAGAAAGCCTACGGGTTTGATGGGGAGAGGAAGAAAACAATAGGTGCCACCAGTTCTTACCTACACAGTCATATCGGCCACTGATATATTTCAGTTCAAAACCAACATGACATTTGCAGTAGTAGCTCCCAAATGTGTTCACACATCTTCGATTGTAGGGGCAGATGGCTTTATCAGAAGCACATTCATTAATATCTAGGATGGGGAACCAGGAGATGTCAGGGGGTGCAAGAAAGTACCCTCCCTCCAAAATACCCCCATGCCCGGGCACATCCGGTTTCTTCGCTGGACAGCTCTGATTACCCTGGGAGCAGCATCACGTCCTCCAAGAAGTGTTCGAGGCCCCCTAGGCTTACTCATAGTCCTTCCCTTTGTGGATCTGTCACTCTGCACGTCGTGTTTTAGAGGCATTATCTCGCTGTAATGACTACTTATTGTTCACATTTTCTCTCCTGTTAGGCCCTGGCTTTTCTGGGGCAGGGAGCATATGTCTGGCATTTTGTACATATACATTATCTTTTGCTGACCGAATTAGCATTTTTCTAGCTATGGATATGGTATGGCAAACCCAAAACACAAACATTTAAATTTTGCATCTTACAAAAGAAGTATTTCATTAGCAAGCTCCTCTAAGTTCTGCCGTATTGTTCCAAATCACAGAAATGTGGTTTCCTAAGAATGTACTTAAACATACATTGTGGGTCAAGTATAATGATGTAATGATGCCACTTCAACAGAAAACAGGCTTCCTTCCTTTTCTACTGTGGAGAGTCACGTCACAGAGGGGCTGACTGCTACGGTCACCGAGCCATTAAGATTCAGGCTTTGCCTTAAGTTTCAGAGGTCGAGGCAAATAGATGTCAAGTTGTTATTTTGCAACTGTGGTTAAACACGCAAGTTGGTGCTGACTTACAGCTCCCTCTGCTTTCTTAAAATAATTAATAAACAAGCGTTGGATTGAGTGAAATTATTTTGGGGGGATCACTTTTGTGCCCATCATCTTTCCCCTCCAATAAAAACGGCACCCGGCAAACCAAAGAAGTGGGTGAAAATCTGGATTCAGTTTGATCAAGAATTAGCCTTATCATATAAATACGACTTTACCAAAGAGTACTAAATCTCCTGAAATGAATTAAATCTTTGACTACTCTCAAAAAGTAGAGCCAAAGTTTTAATTTACACAGGTTTCTAAAAAAAAGTGTTGAAATGATTTAGGATCTATTTGGCTGCGCTTCTGAAATGCAGTTTATCAAGTTACGTACATTTAGAGTAAACAGGCACCAAGCACCCTTGACAGAAAAATACTTCTATCGCAGTACAGAAGTTAGAATAGTAACTCATACTGCTATTTGCTTATTTAAATCAAACAAAATTAAGACCTTTTTCAACATTCTGTTTGGTTTGACACCCCTAATTAATGCTAGATGCTCACTTGCTCTAAATATTATATATTTATAGTGCAATATAATGAAATACAGTACTAGGAATATATACAATTTGGTAGTTGAAAGAAAATGTGCAGGGTAAATACACTAAATTAAAATTACTTTTACATCTTTTTCCACCATGCATTAGGGAATCCAAAAATAATAGAGAAGTGCTCTTTCTAGCATCACAAAGTGTTTCTAGAGCATATGTTGCTAAAAACATTGTCTCAGAAATGGACATAAGTCTGTAGTTTTAGGAGCTTTCAATGACTAGTCTACAAGCAGGCTGCGATGAATGAAAAAGGAGGATTCAGTAAAGGGAGAAGGTGGGGGTGGGGGTGGGGGAGTGGAGGCGACTTTGGCCGCTCTACCTAGACAAGATCTTCCATTCAGGGCTAGGCGGAGGCCGGAGGATGGACAGAGACAGCGTGGCCCTCCCTCCGTGTCTTCACAGCCATACTGGCAGTTTGTCAGCGCACACGTCCTAGAGTCTGCAAAAGTAGGCACAGATTAGCCCCCACGAGATGGTAAAAAGTGCTTACTGAGAAATGATCTCTGACATCTGGGACATTAAACCAAACACGTGAAATGGTATTCGAGGATAAGCTTCGTTGCCTGAGTCCCAAATGGAGAACCAAGTGGAATCTGGGCAGGGGTGGTGTCTTGGTGGCCCCGGGGTCTGTTTTGTTGGCCAAAGTACCGCATGCGACCTTCATTAGATAGGGCACGCCCCTCATTTACCAGAGACTGCATCTCTCTCTCCTCCTGTACCAGCTCTAATCACTCCTCTGTGCCACCCGGCAGGTCTCTATTATTGGCTGAAATGCAACCTCTTAAGATGATGATCAGTCTGCGTAATTAGGGTAAAAGAATGCAAATTCTAGGGGGAGGGTATAGCTCAGGTGGTAGAGTGCATGCTTAGCATACACAAGATCCTGGGTTCAATCCCCAGTACCTCCTCCAAAAATAAACAAGTAAATCTGATTACACCCCCCCAATGAAATAAATAAAATTAAAAAGAATGCAAATTCTAGCAATCTCTCCATTCACATCTGGCCTCAGTGAGAGTCACTCGAGCCAGAAAACCTTGTCTTCTAGGTGCCTGTGTTAAAACATGTGGCAGATATGACTGATGGGCTACCCAAAAGCCATTCCCATCACCGAGGCTAGAAAATCAGTTACTTATGTTTTTCCCCAGCTTCTCTTGCAGCAACAAGGAGTGGCCATATGCCTCAGTTGTGGCCAAAGAGATATTAAGACAAGTCTGCTAGAAGGAGTGAAGCTTCTGGAAAAGATACTGCTGCATGATAAAAGGGACAGGCATAAAAGAGGTGTTTGTTCAGTTGGCATCACTCCTTTCCCCTTTGTCTTGCCTACCTTCGATCTGCATGTGATATCTGGAGCTGGGGCAGCCATATTGTGACTAGGAGGCCACAAGCATGAGAATGAAAACAATACCCTGAGGATGGCAGAGGTGGAGTCCTTGCTGACCTGTTCTGGAACTGCTCGCCTCCAGCTTTTTTGGTAAATGTCATAATTTAGTTGGATTTTTCTGTCACTGCTAAAGAGAACTTATCTCACAAAAATGCATTTCCTTAGCAGGAGTCCAGTATGTGTAGATCTTAAGTGTCCACAACAGGGGAGCACGGAGAATATACTCTCTCTATCCAGCTGCATGCATAACATGCCAATCACACAGCTGGACAAAAGAGACTACAAGGGGGCAGGTGACAGAAAATCAGCTTCCAGGAGAGAGGACCAGGGCTATCTGGACACTTTTTTTGAGCTATAAACAGGAAGGCGCAGGCAACCCTTACAAACAGAAGTAGATAATTAGGGATAGATACACAGGCCACGGTAATGTAGCAAACACCCACTGATGGTTATGTTTCTAGTTTATTCTTTTCCTCCTTAGTTGTCTTCTCTCAAAATTAATCTTCAAAGTTTACCTCATTCTATCTTTCCATTTGGAGAAAGATATCTTTTTTGGCACTAATTAGGCTTTCACGGAATGTTTCAGAAACATCCATCAGCATACAGCTTTTCAAAAACGGTAAGTGATTACTATAAAACCCTGGGTAGCTGTTCCCACGGGACCGGTCGGGGCAATTCTGGCACAGTCCTATTTGGTAGTGGTTGCATGGGTGCCGGCCTTACAAGAATTCATTAAGCTACATATTTGTCTCTTGCGGGTTTGTTTAACTTATAATAATAAGGATTTTTTTTAAAAGACTCTTGGAAATCCTAGTTTATCTCTTAAGCTTGTGTGCTAATGAGAATCCAGGTGACTGGTGGTGTTGGGGCACTTTGCCAAGGAGGGGCAGCGAGCCGTGCATGAACCAGACCGCACAATTGAGGGAAGCCCAGGATGGGCTGGGGAGTCCACGGGACTCTGCAACCATGGGCACAGGCTCCAGGTTTGTTGAGGGCTGCAGGGCAGAGGAAAGAGAGACGGGGAGAAGGGAGGGAGAGGGGAAACAGGGAGGATGGGTTTGGTTCTCAGTTGCAACATAAAACCTAAAAAGGCTTCCTTCTCAATCAGTGAATAGATACAGACACGCACCCTCCCACAGGACACGGGCTGGGTTCTCTTTATCAGAGAAGGGCTTTTCTTTCCAGGAATGTGAATCAGAATGTATTTCCAAGAAGAGGCACTAATCTTTGAGCGTGGGGCAAGGGGCGTGAGAAAGGTAGTCGGTGGGGAGCACTGATGTCCCAAGATGGACTTTAACTTTATCACTTTCCTAAAACAATATGCGTATTTGATTCAGGATGCTTATTTTCATGAAGAAATCCAAAACACTCCTGCACATATGTATAGAACTTATTTTTCTGCTCAGCTAGTCTATTTATGTAAAAAGTTAAGTGGCCAGAATAGGCAAATCCAGAAAGCAGATTAGTGGCTGCGGGGGCCTGGGGGGAAGATGAGTAGGGAGTGACTGCTAATGGGGACGGGGTTTCCTTTTGGGGTAAAGATGTTCTGGAACTAGACAGTGGTGATAGTTTGTACAACACTGTGAACGTACAAAATGCCACTGAATTGGACACCTGAAAATGGTCAAAATGCTGAATTTCACATTATAGGTATTTCACCCCAATTAAAAATAAAATAAGTGTTCAAAGATGTTTTGGCCTGAGGCAATGTTAAGAGTCTTTTGGGTACTTACCCCCTCCCCAATTACTCAAGTCAACTTTTCCCCAAGCATCAAATGGCAAAAGTCAAGGCTCCAGGTTGGCTGCTGAAACTTACTGGAACACGTGGTGTCCGGCATGAGCATATGCCCACTGAGGCAGAAGCACTTGTAACTACCATGTGTATTCATACATCTGTGTTGACACGGCCAGGGTCTCATTCCACACTCGTTCACATCTGCAGGCAGGAGTCAGAAAATGGAGAAAGGTTAACTGAATGGGGAAACATCCAGATGTGGAACTGGGTTGGCCTCCCTGGACCCCACCCGTGGAGGTGGGTACAAGGGGCAATGACTCACCTCTTCTCCGACCATCATTAAAGGACTGGTGAGGATGTGGAGCAAATGGAATAATCATACTCCGCTGGAGGGGATGTAAATGGGCACAACTACTTTGGCAAACTGTTTGACAGCAGAAAAGTTAGCTATAGACATAACGGCCACCCAGCAATTCCACTCCTGGGCACGTGTCCAACAGAAACATGGATACGTGCTCACCGCAGAAACATGTACTAACATGATTGCAGTAGCACTACTCTTAATAGCCCCAAACTATAAAGAATTCAAATCTCTCCCAGTGGAAGGACGGATAAATGATTTGGAGACTCATGTGATGGAATACCATATAGCAATGAGACCGAACAAAGTGTAAGTACAAGCAACCATGGGTCACAGTCACAGACATGGTGTGGGAGAAGCTGGATACAAATGCGTACATTCAAAACCACCCACAACTAAAACAAAACCAAACCAGGCACCACGACTCTGCAGGAAGAGGTCAAGATACGGTTCCTTGCTGGGGGCTGGGGACAAGTGACTGGAGGGGAGAAGGGGTCTTCAGGTAGGCTGTTAAGTTCCTATTTCCCTATCTGAATACCAGTTACATGGGTGTCTTTGAACATTCCTTGAGTTGTACATTTCCAATGAATGTACAATTTTGTATGTTTACTACTTGAATAAAAAGTTAGAAATATATACTTTAGATACTTCTGCCTTTAATGCTGTCCCAGGCAGCCTATGTCACATGCCAACAGCACAGCTTCTTTTCAGTTATTATTCTGGGCGGCCCCATGCTGGGCCAAATTGTCTAGGCTCCAAATTGTCTTTCCAGAGGGAGCCCCACCAGGCAGCTATTATTGGTGGTGAGGTCATAGGACAATATTTAATCCCGTGTAAAGATGGTCAGAGGATGTTGTTAAGTAAGAAGGCTGCAAAACCATTTGCTTTAAAATTTGCTTTAAAAAAAAAAAGCAAAGGAAAAAATGTCTGGGATGCAATGCTCTTAAGTGCTAATAATGGTTACCTTCAGGTGGTAAGACTGAAGGTGACTTTCTTCTCTGTGCTCTTCAGTGTTTGAAGTGTTAAACGTTACAAATGAATTGGCTTTTTTAAATTAAATTAAAAATGATACAGAAGGAAAATAAAACTTTAAAAGCAATCATGGGTCTCATCTTTGGGAATGTGGTCACATGGGTGCCTTATGTCTTAACTCCCTTAAGGAAGACAGAGAAAAGAACCAAATTCCACGTAAGGTCAAAATTCAGCATGGCAACAGGTCAAGGGCATCCTTGAAAATAAAGAGGTGGACGCTTTCACCTCTGAAAAGAACCTTACGTGGGGCTTTTCCGATGCCTTAGCCAGACATCTGAACCCCCTTCTCCATTGCCAGTCCCTGCTACCCTATTATCTCCTGCATGGATCCTAACTACCTCAAAAGCAGGAATTTAAAAAAGCTGGTTGGACATAATGGGAAAGCCAGGAATACCCCTTAACTTGGCCCTAACGCAGAGGCGTCTCTTGGAAGAAGCATTCTGGGGAAAGACATCAGTTGAGGGTTGAAACCTGTGGCCATTAGTAGATACATGTGGACTTTGATCAAGCTGTCCCGGGGCAGGGAGGCTATGGGAGGAGGACAGACCGTCCCAAACCTGAGCCAACTGGACCACTCCCTCAAAGTGAGTATTTTACCGGGACTTGCAAATCAGCATGAAAAATGTCTTCTCTGTTTCAACTCTCTTGAGAAGGTATCTTGGTACAGAATCCAAGACATATGGAAAAACAGCTTTTCTGGTGTGAAAGCCCTGGAAAGGGACACAGCTGAATTATGACTTAGGAGAGCATGACTCGTGACGCGCCTCCCTCAAGCAGTTGGACGCGGTTCTAAGAAGCACCGTGGCGGCTGAGCTGGTGCTGGGACAGAAGGGAGCCAGAGATTGCTCTCTGAGGCCGCGGGGCTGGCCGCTCAAAGGAAGGCTATTGGGCACCTGCAGCTCACCTCCGGGCTTGGCATGACAGAGTGGAGCGCGTGCCTGCCCTTCTAGAACCCGAGCCAGGCTTTCTTCAGCGCAGCTGCACTGCTCTGCTACGCTTTGCTCAACTGCATTCTAGGACTGGGGATTCTTTCTTTTTTCTTTCTTCCTTCCCTTCCTTCTCTCTTTCTCTCTCTTAAATTTTCATGGAGGTACTGGGGATTGAACCCAGGACCTTGTGCATGCTAAGCATGCGCTTTACCACTGAGCTACACCCTCCCTCCATGGGGACCCTGTCTTAATTAGTCCAGGTTTCTTCGTGGCAGGGTGTCTCAGCCTCAGCACCATTGACATTTTAGGGCAGATCATTCTGTCGTGGGGGCTGATCTGGGCACTGTGGGATGTTTAGCAGCATCCTTGGTCTCTACCCCACTAGATGCCAGTAGGAATCCCTCCCAATGTCTTCAGACATTTACCAGATGTCCCCTGGAGTAAGGTTTCCAAATTGAACAAATAAAAATACAGGATTCCCAGTTAAATATGAATTTCAGAAAAAATGACTAACCCTTTTTTAGTATACCTAGGTCCCATACAATATTAGGAACATATGTACACTGTAAAATTATTCGTTGTTTATCTGAAATTGATACTGAAATTGAAAATAAAATTATATTTAAATTTACGTCTAACTGGGGATCTGTATTTATCTGGCAACTCTTCCTGGGAAACAAAACTGCCCAGGTTGAGAACTGCTGTTCTTGACAGTATAACCTCTTTAATGTCTTCAGATAAACAGCCTATGACAAAAGTTATAAATGGCCTTTTAAAAATCTATCAATGACAATAAAAAATATGCTTGTCATTTAACCTAACAATTGCATTTTTAGGTATCTACCCTATAAAAATACTCACTCAAGGGTGCAAAGACATGCATAGAATGATGTCTGATTTAGCGTTGTTTGTAATGGCAAAACATTAGGGACAACTTAAGTGATAGTGGTTAATTAAAGCATTTTTTACATAAAAGATAAAAGCATTTTCTCTAGGGACTGGGAGACAGCCTTAGAAAGTAGGAGATAGTTCTGTATCCACTGACATGCAAAGATGCCCACAAGAAATATTCATGTTTGTACAATAATAGAAAAAGAACTGCAGGGGTGGAGGACACACTGCTAACTATGGGAAGAGGAGCTCCTAGGGGTGGACAAGCTCATTGTTTAATTTATAGCCTTTTGCACTGTTGGATTTTTTTTAGTAAAAGACAGGTATTACTTCAGTAGTTTAAAAACATAATAAACGCAATTTGTTTAGTGGAAAAAGGTCTTTTATCTGGCATCTTAACAAAAACATCAGCATGCCTTTTTCATTTTTCTAGAAGAGACTGAAAGATCTGGTATTGAAATCACTTTCATTTGAAGATTCAAGTTAAAATCTACAAAATTCTGAGCACCGTTCTTGGGTCCCACACCCCTCGCTGTGATGGCTGAACTGCTTCTGAAAGCTCTGGGTAGGTTTGTATCACCAGCCTGGTCTGCAGTACTGACCTTGACTGCAGGTTTTCCCAGTGTATCCTGGAAAGCAATGACATTTGTTTGGTCCCACACACTCCCCGAACTTGCATCCAGGTTCACACGTAGCTGTGGAAAGAAGGTTGTTTGACCATAGACGAACAGCTGTAGTTAACGCAGTGCAATGTCCCCATGTCAAACTTGGCCGCCTTCTGTGTGACAAAGAAATCCATGGCAACACAGAGGAAGATCTGCTTCCTCTCTAGTCTGTGTTTACCTTTAAGATACTGGAAATGGTTTTGCTTCTTAACTAGATCGCCAGCCCTCCACCCCGCCATCCCTCTACCCAGAGAATACAAGTTTATCAAAACTTTGCTTAGTATTGCCACACCTCCAGTGACATTTAAAGAAAAAGAAAGCCTCCCAGACCACAGTCAGCCAGTTTTGCATGTCAACACAGAAGTTTTAACACAAGGAGTACAATTTGTGAGCTGGAAGAGACTACAGTCATTCCAGGGTAAGTGCCAAGGTCCCTCTCCTTCTTTCTGTTGTCTGCGTCTTTTTTCTCTCTCATATTGTCTCTCCTATTTTTCTTTCAAATGATCAAAATCTTTTTAACACTGTGTGTTATCAGTCAAAATAAACAACCCTTGGATTGGAGGCAGGGAGCCACTACCTCCAGCCCCAAGGATGGGAACCCAAAGCCTCATGATGGTGGTGGTGGTGAGGGCGATGATGCAGGTGTGGCAGAGGCAGGATTTGGTTTTTGGTTTTATCCATTTCTGTATCCAGACACCTGACCCAAATGAGGAACTCCGTTTGTTTGATGAGTGAGGTAAGGGGAGAACCAGCAAGGATCAGATGTTTCACTGATTGGGTTGGGTCAAAGAAGATGGAAAGTTTGAGTCTAGCTTGTAGGGAGGAGATAGGGAGAAAAAGCTGTAGATAAAAAAAACAACAACAAAGGAAAATGGGAAAACCCAAAGAGAAAAAAGGGAAGAGAGAAAGCAAATCATGAATGAGAGACAAAGGAGGCATGTAGAGAATCACGGACCCCCACATTTCCTGGACCTAGTAGGAGATCCGGAAGTAGCCAGCAAATGAAAGGATGAGTCAGCAATTGCCCAGGAATGCTGCTTACTTCTCTGCACACTGATTCTCTGGCTCAGAGTAGATCTATCCCCTAAACAAGCCTCTTCCTAAAGACCCAGCCTCTTCCCCTTCGACCCTCAACCCCACTTTTTGTTAATGTCACCATTCATCTCTCAGCTCCATGGACTCAAAATCTCAGTTGTCTCTCTCTTTTCTTGTCCACAAACCAGTTACAGCATCGTCTCTCTCTCTCCGTTTTTACCACCAATTCATTCACTGAACAAATATTTATCTAGCTAATGGGAACAACTTTGTCCAGAGATATCTTAGAGATTACACCACATGCCACTCTCTCCCGTTTCCCCACTTCAGCCTGTGACCAGTACTTGGGGATGCTGGGGCCTAACAGCCTAGCCCCTGGTTTCCAAGCAGCACAAATTCTGTGGTATAATTAACACTCCAGAGCTCCCTGTAGGATCAGGTTGAAGCCATACTTTTCTGGAAGCCCCATCTTTGCTTAGCTTCTTCCCCTGCTCCCTCACCCCCTTACAGATTCCTCCTGAGAGTACCCCTCAACATGATATTTGTACAAGAATCCTCTTCACGGGCTCTGCTCCTGGGATATCTGATGTCAAACACATTAATCTGTTATTCCAAAGGCATAGTTCTGATTGTGCCACGCTTGACACAGAAGTCATCAAATAAGGGGTGGGAAGGGATAAATTTGGGAGATTTGCAACTGTTAACCACTACGTATAAAAATAGATAAAAAACAGATTTCTTCTGTATAGCACAGGGAACTATGTTCAATGTCTTGTAATAACAAGAATATGAACAAGAATGTGAACAAGAATATGAAAACGAATATATGTATATATATGTATAACTGGGACATCGTGCTGTACACCAGAAATTGACACACTGTAACTGACTATACTTCAATTAAAAAAAAAGTCATCAAATTATCTTTGTTGTGTCCCGAATACAGTACAGGTATCATAATCATGATCTGGCCCCTACTTTCTTTTGCAGCCTTAGCTTACTCTGTTCCCCAGACACAGGCAACACTGTGGTCGAACTAGATTGCCAGCTATTCTCTAGGGCTACCTGTGCTTTCTGTCTCTGTCTCTCTGTTGTTACCTCACACTACAGCACCCCTCCTTGACCCTCCAATGGTTAATATCCTCCCAATCCTTCAAGGACTACCTTGCACAGTCCCTTCTTCCAGAAGCTTCCACAGATTTCTCCGGCCACATGTGAACTTCCACTCAACTTTGAGAACTCCAAAGAACTTTGGCAGGCTTCTCCCAGGAAACTGATCAGTCTTCATCTTACTAAATAATTAGGTATCTATTTTGTGTCTAGCTTTGACTTCTGTCTACTACTTGACTCTTAAGTGCTTTCAGAACAGGGACTTTAACATTTATCTTTGTTTCTCCTGCTGTGTTTAATGGGGTTGTAAACATGTTAGATACTCAAATAGTCTTGAATAGTAAGTAAAGTAATAAGCGCAGAACTTTTACCAGAGAAACATTTATGGCTCAGAATAGATCCTAAGTGAGAAGGGAGGGGAAAAAATGCTCCCAAGCAAAATTTTTCCACTTTTGGAGACAACCGAGATAGAAGTTGATTTCTAATGTCTATTTTGTTATGGTTATGTTCTTGGAGAAGCAGCTTAAAGTCTTAGATGCTAGAAAAAATAAATCTTTTATTTTTTTAAGTCCTGAAGACCTCTGATTGCTCCCTGGAAAGTTATTTTCAATGTGGTCCAGACAGGAAAACCCAGGATTAATGCCAAATAGCACAGAGGAGAAGTGGTGAATAATACCCTTGCTGCTATAAGGTCAACACTCCAGAAAGATGTTTTTAATTTACAGTAACTTCGGGTCTGTGATTTGAACAATCAATCCACAGCCCAAAGGAAATTCCGTTTATGTCTAAAACGGCCTGAGATTTAAGTGTGCTTTAGATAAAGGAAACACTCTTATTCAGTTCTCCTGCACACTCCTCCGTCTGTAGCTTTTCGCTGGGGATCTGTTCGTGGACAACAACTTCTCCCACCTCGCTAAGTGACCAACATTTGAAGGTTAATGCTATTGAGCGCAGAAGACTCTGCCCTGGAAGCAGATTTAAGCAGGGCAGAGGCCAAGATCTAGAAAGCTCTGGCATTGGAACAGGGCCTCTTGAAGAATGAAAGGTGAGTAGATGATGGAGGTAAAGGCTTGGGACCTCACAGGCTGGGGTCTGGCTCTGCCTATTGGGCAGGTTGACACGCGTTCCCATCTCATTAACATGCAGGCCACACTCTGACTTCAAAATCAGAGCCCTGGCAATCAGGGACTAAATACCCTGTCATATGGTGCCTCAAGTAGCGTATGACTTTACCATCAAGAAGGATCACGTCGGGGGTGGGTGTGTGTGGCGGTATAGCTCAGTGGTACAGGATGTACTCAGCATGCGCAAAGTCCTGGGTTTAATCCCCAGTACCTTCATTAAAAAATATGAGAAAAAAGAAAAAGAAAAAAATAAGAAAATAAAAATAAAATTAAAAATATTAAATAAAAATATTAAAAAAAGAAGTATCATGTCAATTGGGTATCACATGAGACAGATTTTAGATATAAAAATCATTGCAATTTAATACTGGAGCATTTTGCTGGAATCCTCTGAAACACCTTGCTTTAAATTCTTTCATGCTTGTGGTATTATACTGCCCACAAAAGCTTTGAGAATGTGGCTGGCTGTGTGTACACTGGCCAAACTGCTCTGATCTAGTTCCAGAACAGCCCTTCCAGAAAGCCAAAGTTCACCCTCATTTATTCACCAGAGACACGCAAGTTTTATGGCAGTAGGTACTGAAGTTCGTACGACTGTAAGAGAGATTCCAAATCAGGCATCCCACGTGGTTTTTGCCCTTTCCATCTGACTGACTTCCAACAAAAATGTGCCATGTTCACCTGGAACAAGAATAAAGCAACTCTGAATTCCCCCATCACCTGGTGCTTTGATGGACAGAAGTCTGAGATGAGAGTTCTTGGTCCTTTCTGGGTCAGGAGTAAGTTAACAAGGTATTTCCTCTGTGTACCAGGTAATGAACACAGCCGTTAATGCGGAGGAAATGGAGCCTCAGCGAGTTGCCCTAGCTTGCCCCGGGTTACCCACATCATTCTGGTTCTGAAGACAATGCCCTTGATCATGACACTATAAATCCAGCCAGTGTGGGGACCCACCCTTTTAACTGACAAAGTCCCAGGGGGATGTTCTGAATCTCTTTCTCTAGGCGGGCAATGATGAGCTTCAAATATTTTTCTATTATCGTCACATTCTTGTCATCTCCTTACAAGAAAACTGTGATGGTGGAAGGTTTTACCTAATACTGAGCATGTGGGAGGAATACCAATGTCTTCCAACATAATGGAATGGGGATGGATTTCAGAAATGATGCAGTTTTGACCTCACCTGTGGTCTATCCAGATATTTTTGAACCAGCTAGAGAGGAAGAGGTTGGGGCAGGGAAAGAAAGACCAGCAAAAAGAAGGTAGCATGTTATTCTTAAAAATAGCTAATTATTTTTGTGCTTTATAGTTTCTAATCCAATAGGATCCACACCATCACCTAAACTGTATGGGACACGCAGTCGTGTGTTTATCCCGTTTAACAGACAAAGGATTCGGCTTAAGGCATACGCCACCTACTAGGGACACAGGGACCCGGAGACCAGTTCCCACCCTGAAGGAATGCACCAGTCAGAGAGTCAGCTAGAAGGAATGCGGATTCAATTCGTTTACACCATGAATATGGATTATTATAGAAAGTCATACAAAAAAACGAAGCAACACAAAATGCTGTGCTCATCTCTATCCTCCCCAAGTGTCCTGAAATGATCAGAGGCCTCTCTCGGGGTTCCTAACACATGATCTGAAAAACAGTGTCCAAGGCAAACGATGGTTCCTCAGTTTGAAATCTGTATAAAAGAACTATGCATATCTTGCCTATAGGCATGTATCTCTTGAAACCATCTAGAAACTGGCACAAGGACTTCAAAAACATGAGTAACAAAACTATAAATTAAATAGCTTACTTTCTTGTTGGTGACTGAAGTCTACTGGTGGGGTGATTCATAATCAAAAAGTCAATTTCATTAGAAATCAGTTGGAAAAATTCTAATTAGAAGGAGGTATTTAGTGGCTTCTTTTTGCCCAACTCAGGTTCTCTAGATTAAAACAAAAACAGTAACGAACAACCCAGCCAGACTCACTAAGATAGCAGCAGAAATAATTGACAAGACAGGGCTCCTACAACAAATCGTGCCTAGGGTGATGGTGTTGTCCCTGTCCCTCCTCTGAGGAACCCACTGGCAGTTTGGTGACAGCTTACGGTACCACAGATAAAAGCCTAAGGACTCTGGCCTACTACCTGAGCACAGGGTGGTCTGGGCTTTTACACAATTACCTTCACAGACTCCCTTGTCGCTCCTCCTCCAGCCATAGCAGCAGGCCAGCTTGGCTCCATAGCGACAGACCCCAGGCTGGAGCGACGATGCCAACAACCCACGATCCCTTGGACTGTGGATAAAGAGCCACGTGTTAGTATTGAGAAAACAGCAAGGAAGGGCAACAGAGACTCTGCCCTGCTACCGAATGGACAGGAGACATGACAGTTATCTGGTTAATCTCCATAAACCTGCCGGAAGTGCCAGATTAGATTCTGAAAATCTGAATTTTGGGTTGCCAGCCTCTGCTGCCATCCCTGGCCAGCCTTTTCCAATAATTAGCATCATCTATTTCCTTCTTCCCCAGGGTTAAAAGAATTAGGTTACATAATCTACAAAACAAGGACACATGAAAGCAGCCAAAAATGTCTGTTTCTGAACCTTGCAGAGGGCCAATTTTCAAATCTGCTCTGTATAGACAGGCACAGTGGCTACCCAGGTCTGTGTCTGCTTCAGTGCCGAGCGTGGTGGTATGACCCCCTGACCCCATGGCTTTGTTCCAGACGAGAGCGCTGCACTTTTACGTCCACTGGCCACCTGGGAACCACTGAACAAACTGGAATCTTGACGCACAATAGATGGTTCAAGCTGGAAGGCCCTAGAGATCCTTCCATGAAGCCCTCTCATGTTACAGATGACAAAACTCCGCCCGAGGGAGCAGTCACAGACCTCGCAGACCCGTGTCAGGGACGCCAGCCCAGGGCGCCTTTCACTCCTGCAAACAACATTTACTCAACTCTTCAACTGTAGAACAGGGGTCAGCAAAGGTTTTCCGCAGAGGGTCAAATGCTAAACAGTTTAGGTTTCACGGGCCATGGGTCTTTGTCCAAGGGCAAAAGAAGTCCTAGGCAACAGTAAACAGGTGGGCGTGACTGTGTTCAATAAAACTTTATTTGTGGACACTGATACTTGAATTTCATATGCTTTTCATATGTCATGCAATAATGTTCTTTTGCTGTAGCTTTAACCACTTAAAAAGGTAAAACCATTCTTAGCTCAAGAGCCACATAGAAACAGAAGGCCACCCCCACCTTGACCTGTGGGCTGAGGTTCGTTGAGTCTGATCTAGAGACTGGACCCCAGCTCTAAGTGCCGCGACTCAGCTTGCTGTGTGCTCACCTACTCATGGGTCCGGGATCGGACCAGGTTGCTACCAGATTCTGGAAGACAGGGCTTCAGCTGTCTACTTTGTGGCTGGCTAGGGTTGCTTTCTCATGCGTGTTAAATATACCGTAAAATGCTTCCTGGGCTCTTTAACAGACAAGGAATGCATATTTTACCATATGCTGCACGACTGAATTTTATGCAAGTTTAATAAGAACTTAGTCAAGGTCAGGAAGTTAAACAACCATAGAGTTTTCCCTGGTGGTCTGTCTCTCCCACCAACTTGGTTAATCAGTGAAGAGCTACAAAGATATGGTCTGGCATAGAAAATAAACTTACAGTTACCAAAGGGGAAAGGAGTGGAGAAGGGATAAATTAGCAGGAGCTACCTCACAGAGGGCCTGCTGAGTTAAGTCAGGGCTCTCGGGTCTTAGATCCCAATCGCAGGCAACAGGACAGCACTGAAGGGTTTTAGTTAGGACGTTATCTGGTAAGATTTTCCTTTAGAAAAATATCATCATGGCAGAAGTCTGGAAAAAGGACTAGAGGGAGGCAGAATAGAAGCAAGGATACCAGTTGGCTCAGGAGAAAGATGCTGGTAGCTTTAGCTGGAACAGTAGCAGTGGAGGTGGGGACTTCATAATGGATTTCATTCATTCATTCACTCATTCATTCATTCCACAAGTATTTTCTTTCTCTTCTTCTTTCTCTCTCTTTTTTAAACCAGAACATTTATTGCACAACTAATTGTTGAAATCTTTAAGACGAACTGGATGCCGCAACAGCTGCCCTCTTCAGTTTAGGTGTCATTTCTTCATGGAATCTCTTCCTGAATCTGTGGTATACAATTTTTAGGTGCCTCCTTTGACTGGTCCCAGTGGTATTTTGTCTTTTAGCTTTAGCATTCCAGTTACACTTTCTCTTATGCTTGGCAGCGTAGCCACATTTGTCACAGGTCAACTTCTGAAGGTGGTAAGCCTTAGAGCCACATCGGTGGCCAACATGTGTGTCTTATTCTGACGCTTTCCAAATGATGACGTTCCCTTCGTCATCTCGCTTCTGTGACTGAGACCAAAGGGCACAAGTATTTCTTGAGGCCCTACAATGTATCAGGCACTGGGTTAGTCTCCACAGGTTCAGCAGCAACCAAAAGGAACATAATACCTCTGCCCTCATGGTCATCACATTCTGGTCAATTGGATGTACTGGTGAGAGGACTCCATAAGTAGGCAGACGGCTGTGCTGGACTTCTAGGGATCAGGAATATGAATGGAGGAACACACTAGGGAACAGGGTAAATGACAAGTTCATTTTGGGATTTGCTATTCTGAGGACTCATCAGACAGACAAGCCAGGGGAGATGTTATATGGGGAGTTGGATATTTAGGCTAGAAGTCCTGAAAGCAGAACCGGATGTGGAAGTCATGTGCAGGTAGCTGGTTATTGAAACTATGAGAATGGATGGAGTATAAGAAGAGAAGGTGGTTTAGGGCAGAGCCCTAAGGAAACTAGCATGTGAAAAATGTGGGCCAACGGAGGAGGGGTATAGCTCAGTAGTAGAGCATGTGCTTAGCATGCACAAAGTCCTGGGTTCAATCCCCAGTACTTCCGTTAAATAAATAATTAAACCTAATCTCCCTCCTCCCAAGTAAAGTTCTCATCACAAGAAAAAAAAAATTCTGTAACTATATATGCGGACAGATCATTTCCCAATGTATACAAATATCAAATCATTATGTTGTACATCTGAAACTAATATAGTGTTATATGTCAAACTGTACCTCACACACACACAAAAACATTACTGACACTGTTAGATGTGAAATCAGAAAGAACCAAACTGAAATTTGTTGAAATATGATTTTTTAAAAACATCTACTTAGAAACTTTGGTGAAAAAGCCCTGGGTCCCCTGTACAGGTGATCAAATCCATTTAACATGTATTGATCAAAGTCAATTACTTTGATTGTGGAATATACTGCCTGGGGTAAACTAACAGGAGAAAGTTACCAGAAGATGAAATTCATATACTGTTTGCACATTACCACAACTCTCCAGAGAAATCCTCTTTCTCAAGTTTTATTGCTTTCATATGCTTGCCTTTAGGTGAAAAGGTGAAACTGAGAAATCTGAGGTGTATTAATTTCTCCCCAGCCATCATTTTTGATGTTGTACAAAGTATCACTTGTAAAGGTCTCCAAAATGTTAATGACTAACACTTGGGCCATCAAGAACTTGTTAATAAAGTAGGACTTCTTATCCACTATATGGAATTCTTTCCCTAGTCACAAATGCATTTTAGTATTACAGCTTTGTTGGAAGGTATCAGAAATTTGTCATTAAATCTAGCCTTATTCTCATTTGTTTAAAAAATGGAAAATAATAGTTAAGAATCAACTTATGATCGAGAACTCTAAAATGGATTCTGATATTTGGGCAACTACACAAATCAGAAAATACCAGTTCAGCCTCCAGCTGCTCTGTGCATATTTTCTAAAGGAGAGCAAGCAGCTTGAAATATTGTAGGAAAAACCATCAGAAAACCATGTGAGTCCAGAAATGACCAACATGCCTTTCAATTGACGGGTGGGCTGTCCATGTATTTACTCAGTTTTGAGAGATAGCTTTAAAGGGATAGCCACAAATGGGATTTTACTGGTTTCATCATCAAACTCTACATCTGATCATGAAAATAAGAAAATAGTTTAAAGGAGGGAAATCACTAGCAGATAGAATGGCTAATAATTACCTGCTGACCTGTAGCTGCCAAAGGAAATTGATTTATTACACCAAGAATCCAGCTCTGCATTCTATGATTGCCATTTTTTTAATTCACATATGCAGCTATTTAAAATTATGGATGAAAAGAAAATTAATTATTAAAAATATTTGTTTAAGTTGACACAGTATTATTGAGGGGAAGAAAGAATCCAGCACAGGCAAGCATGATACTGACAATAACAGGAGGACACACTATCTTACAGAATCTTAAAAAAAAACAAAAACCTGCTTAAAAAAAAAAGCTTTAACTTTTAGTTTCTATATAGTTCTTCCATGACACCGCAAGTTGATGTTAGCAAGTGTTTCAGATTACTTTCCCAGCATCCTCTCCTTCTACCTGACTATTGCCCTAATTCCATGCCTAACCACTAACTTTTCCATCACAAATTTAACTATTCTTTTACTTTAATATCTGGTTGTGAGTATTCTGGATAAGGGACATAAACTATTAGGTTAAACTATCTGAAACTACCATTTTGTAAGTTAAAAATGGCCAAATATCTGGGTCTCCTGGGCACAAAGCTACACTATACTTCCCAGCCAGCCAGCCAGTTAGGTGGGTCCACATGGCTGGTTTTAGCCTGTTGGACCATCTCCAAGTCTGTGCACAAAGCCTCCAGTGGGATCCTTGACTCCTCTTTCCATCAGCCCACTGAAGAAAGACTGTGGACCTGGAAAAAGATGGTGCTTCAAGATGGATGGGGCCTGGCAGCACGTCAAAGCACACAGCAGTCTCTCAAACATTCCTTGGACTTTTGAGGCAGGTAAAGAAATAAACTCTTACCACTGAGATTTTGAGATGGTATGATGCATAAGTTAGCTGATCAACAGAGTAGTATTTCAAATAATATTTCAAGAACCATTTCTTTTCCTAAAGTCTAGGACACATGGTGTTTTCCTCATGTATGAATCCATTCATACAAATTCTTAGCAAGCTATCAATATGAATTGCACTTAGTTCCATATTCAGTGAAGTGTGTATTTTTTTAATGTACAAAACTGAGGCAGTGCATTCTGTGATATCAA